GGATTCAGGTTCGTTTTGGTTTGGTTAGGGTTGGGAGGGGGTTAGGATTCAGGTTCGTTTTGGTTTGGTAAGGGTTGGGAGGGGGAAGGGGGGGCGGGGTCAGATTCGTTTTGGTTTGGTTAGGGTTGGAAAGAGGGATGTGATTCAGGTTCGTTTTGGTTCGGTTAGGGTTGGGAGGGGGTTAGGATTCAGGTTCGTTTTGGTTTGGTTAGGGTTGGGAGGGGGTTAGGACTCGGGTTCGTTTTGGTTTGGTTAGGGTTGGGAAGGGGAGGGGGTTCAGATTCGTATTGGTTTGGTTAGGGTTGGGAAGGGAAGGGTGGTTCAGATTCGTTTCGGTTTGGTTAGGTTTGGGAGGGGGAGGGGATTCAGGTTCGTTTTGGTTTGGTTAGGGTTGGGAGGGGGTTAGGATTCAGGTTCGTTTTGGTTTGGTTAGGGTTGGGAAGGGGGTTCAGATTCGTTTTGGTTTGGTTAGGGTTGGGAGGGGGATGGGATTCAGGTTCGTTTTGGTTTGGTTAGGGTTGGGAGGGGGTTAGGATTCAGGTTCGTTTTGGTTTGGTTAGGGTTGGGAAGGGGAGGGGGTTCAGATTCGTATTGGTTTGGTTAGGGTTTGGAGGGGGATGGGATTCAGGTTCGTTTTAATTTGGTTGGGGTTGGGAGGGGGTTAGGATTCAGGTTCGTTTTGATTTGGTTAGGGTTGGTGGGGGGTTAGGATTCAGGTTCGTTTTGGTTTGGTTAGGGTTGGGAAGGGGGTTCAGATTCGTTTTGGTTTGGTTAGGGTTGGGAGGGGGATGGGATTCAGGTTCGTTTTGGTTTGGTTAGGGTTGGGAGGGGGTTAGGATTCAGGTTCGTTTTGGTTTGGTTAGGGTTGGGAAGGGGAGGGGGTTCAGATTCGTATTGGTTTGGTTAGGGTTTGGAGGGGGATGGGATTCAGGTTCGTTTTAATTTGGTTGGGGTTGGGAGGGGGTTAGGATTCAGGTTCGTTTTGATTTGGTTAGGGTTGGTGGGGGGTTAGGATTCAGGTTCGTTTTGGTTTGGTTAGGGTTGGGAAGGGGGTTCAGATTCGTTTTGGTTTGGTTAGGGTTGGGAGGGGGATGGGATTCAGGTTCGTTTTGGTTTGGTTAGGGTTGGGAGGGGGTTAGGATTCAGGTTCGTTTTGGTTTGGTTAGGGTTGGGAAGGGGAGGGGGTTCAGATTCGTATTGGTTTGGTTAGGGTTTGGAGGGGGATGGGATTCAGGTTCGTTTTAATTTGGTTGGGGTTGGGAGGGGGTTAGGATTCAGGTTCGTTTTGATTTGGTTAGGGTTGGTGGGGGGTTAGGATTCAGGTTCGTTTTGGTTTGGTTAGGGTTGGGAAGGGGGTTCAGATTCGTTTTGGTTTGGTTAGGGTTGGGAGGGGGATGGGATTCAGGTTCGTTTTGGTTTGGTTAGGGTTGGGAGGGGGTTAGGATTCAGGTTCGTTTTGGTTTGGTTAGGGTTGGGAAGGGGAGGGGGTTCAGATTCGTATTGGTTTGGTTAGGGTTTGGAGGGGGATGGGATTCAGGTTCGTTTTAATTTGGTTGGGGTTGGGAGGGGGTTAGGATTCAGGTTCGTTTTGATTTGGTTAGGGTTGGTGGGGGGTTNGAGTTTATCGCGGTAATAGGTTATTTCTTGCATTTTCAGTAGACATACTTAACTAACAGGACGGGTTCAAAAACTTCAAAGCAACATGGAAACTTCCGGTAACTGAAAATATAATGCAACGATGGCCTATATATTGTATATATATTTTCATTGTAATTTTCAAATACATTGTTATGTTAATTCCTTTTAATTTGTAAAATAATTAAAAAATCCACAATTGGTTCGAAAAAAAGGCGCGTTAAGTGATACTCATTGAAAACTGAGACTACGGCATTCAGCTAGAAAAGACACTCGTTTGATCATGAATGGCAATAATCTGCACTGCAGGAATTTAAAATCCACATACACTTAGGTATTTATTTCTATTTAGGAATAGAACATACCACATTTAGATAACACCCGAACATAGAAATATTGTCCTTTGAAAAATCTCACAGCATATTCACACGAAGAATTAATATTTTCACAACCAGTATCCATGAATTTCAAATCAAGCTGCTTTCACAAACATTTATATTTTTAATGTTTTGAGAGTACACTTGATTGAAAATATGAGTATATTATATGCACTCCAACCAAACGTCCATTATCTTGAGACCTAAAGAGTCGAAATCATTTCTACTGAATGAGACGTGTAAGCACGACAATTTTGTGTGGTATTTAGAGATTTGGGGCCCTGTTTACAACACTGTTTGTGTTAATCCATGCGCATATATGCTTAAATATTTCTTTTGATTTGTAGTTGTTGCCTCATTGAAAACATAATTTGTGTTTTTTCTTTGATTTATTAGTACTTAATTTGTTATTGAAATCCTTTTAACATGCTTATTTGCATGTAATAGGATTTGTTTTTCTTTGTTTAAGTTAATTATTTAGCTAACAAAATCCTACTAACATGCTTATTGCATCCAATCTATGTTATAGGATTTGTTTTTCTTTGTAAAAGTCACTTATTTAGCCGAAGAAATTATACTAACATGCTTATTGCATCCAGTATATATAAAATCAGTTATTTTCGTGGTTTTTTTAAATAGCTTATCTCTGGTTTCAGAAAGCATACTCACACGTTTATTTGCATCCAATATTTTCAGTGACTTACTTAGATACAGAAACCCAATAAATATGCTTATTTGCATACAGTCTTAGTAATTGGAGCTAGCTCACTATTGAGTTAATATAAATACAACCACCAATGGCGAAGATTTCATGATTGAGGAATTATTGAATACTTAAAACATACGGAGGAAATAATATTATGAATAGTAATAATGGCTTTGTATTAATAAAGACACTCAAGTTTGTTTTGAAAAAAAATGATGTTTGTAAAACCAATAGATTTTTCATCTCATTTTGAGACTATCGTGGGTTCCGTAAAACCGACTTTGAAATTGAATTCGCCCAAATGTGTTTCAAAAGGTAATCTTCCTAAATTTCAAAAGGTTTTCGAGGTTTTCATTCTATGTTCAAATATATAACTTACAACCAATCACTAAAACATTACACAAATGCGTAATAGCATAAATACCGTCGAATGACTGAGTTAAGCTAAAAATCAAATTTCATATAAATTCAGTCAAGATAAGAATCAAATTTCATTTATATTCACTCAAGATAAGAATCAAATTTCATTAATATTCAGTCAAGATAAGAATCAAATTTCATTTATATTCAGTCAAGATAAGAATCAAATTCATTCATATTCAGTCAGGATAAGAATCAAATTTCATTTATACATGAAATGTAAGGTATGTTTTACAAGTGCAGTGTATATTAACTTGAATGGGCACTTTTACTCGACAACAGTCAATGTTGACATTAATGAAAAAAACTATTATCTGCTCCGACTCTTTGTCACTACTACAAAGTATTAAAAACCGGAACTTTAACAACAATCTCGTACAAAATATTGCCCTTTGTATTAACAGAATCTTAGTTTTCTGTCAACTGATCTTGATTTGGATTCCAGGCCATGTCGGAATTAATGGAAATGAAAAAGTGGATACAGCTGCTAAGGCAGCACTTAACCTCAATACGAAAGATATTAAACTGCCTTATTTTGATTTTAAACCTTGAATAGCGAATTTTATTAAAACGATATTGCAAAAGAAGTCGTCTGAAGAAACGAAAAATAAGTTAATTTTCAATTCAACCTAATGAAGCTATATGTTCATGTGCAAAAGGTAGTGCAGACCGCAGAGAGGAAGTTGTCCTCTCGCGACTACGCATAGACCATACCTACATCACACATAGTTATATTTTACGTAAAGAAGACCATCGTTACTGTCATGCATGTGATCAACCATTTACAGTCAAACATTTTATGATTGAATGCGCTGATTTCAAACAAATACGCGACAGATTTTATAATATACCCTCCATGAAACGTTTATTTGATACGGTTTCTGTGCAATCAATCTATGATTATTTACATTCAATCAATCTCTATACGATATGATACATTTTTATAAACAATTCGTTTGTTATTGATATATTTTGACATCTTTTACACATTTTAACCTTTTCTTTCTGGTTTTTATGTACATGTATTCATTTTTTTGTCAATGCTTATTTTTTTCATCGTTGTTTGGCTTTTATTGACTCAAAGTGTCGAGTGGTCGTTAAACAATAGAAAACAAAAAAACAAACACGGTTTGTTTATTGTGATTCAACACCATGATACAAAAGGTTAGCCATTAAACCAGCCGTGTGGTGGTAAGTGCCGTATAAACAAGATGTTCAGTCAATATTTTAAAGCAGTCAAGTATATTTGTCACTTATCTTATTACATCAAAGTATATTAATACATTATTTTAAAACAGCCAATTATTTTATTACATGAAAGAATACAAGTCACTTATTTTATTACATATACGTTTGTCAGTCAGCTATTTTATCTCATCAAAGTATGTAAGTCACTTATCTTATTACATCGAAGTATACCAGTCACTTATTGTATGATATCAAAGAATGTTAGTCACTTATTTTATGATGTGAAAGTATGCAAGTCACTTATTTTATTACAAGGAGGTATATTTGTCACTTATCTTATTATATCAAAGTATGTCAGTCACTTATTTTATTACAAGAAAGTATATGTCACTTATTTTATAACATCGAAGTATTTTAATTACTTATTTTATTACATCAAAGTTACATCAATGCCTGATAACTGGTACAAAGTAACACTAAACATCAGGGTAACACTAAACATCAGGGTAACACTAAACTTCAGGGTAACACTAAACATCATGGTAACATTAAACATCAGGGTAACACTGAACATCAGGGTAACACTAAACATAAGGGTAAAACTAAACATCAGGGTAACACTAAACCACAGAGTAACACTAAAGATCAGGGTAACACTAAACATAAGGGTAACACTAAACATAAGGGCAACACTAAACTACGGGGTAAAACTAAACATTAGGGTAACACTAAACATCAGGGTAACACTAAACCACAGAGTAACACTAAAGATCAGGGTAACACTAAACATAAGGGCAACACTAAACTACGGGGTAAAACTAAACATTAGGGTAACACTAAACATCAGGGTAACACTAAACCACAGGGTAACACTTAACATCAGGGTAACACAAAACATCAGGGTAACACTTAAGATCAGGGTAACACTAAACCACGGGGTAAAACTAAACATTAGGGTAACACTTAACCACAGGGTAACACCAAACATCTGGGTAACACTAAACATCTGGATAACACTTAGCATCTAGGTAACACTAATCATCAAGATAACACTAAGCACCAGGGTAACACTAAACCACAGGGTAACACTAGACATCAGGGTATCACTAAACCACAGGATAACACTAAACATCAGGGTTACACTAAACCAATGGGTAACACTTAACCACATGGTACAGCTCTGTAACACTAAACCACGGGTTAACACTAGACCGAGGGGTAACACAACATTACTGGATAACAATAATCAACGCGATAACACTAAACCACATGGTAACACTAATTAATCACAGCGTTAAACTAAACCACAGGGTAACACTAAATCATTGGCTTACACTTAACCACAAGTAACACTAACCCACAAGATAGCACAACACCACAGGGAGACACAAAGCCATAGAGTAAAACTAGACCATCCGGAACCTAATATGCAGACAAGCTCTTATTGTGAGACACGACACTTAGTAACCAAGTGATATAGACCGTTATAGGTACGCAAACAAAATCATTAAAGCTTAACAATCAAGTGATGTAGAACATAATGTGTATGCAGACAAGCCGTGATAGTGAGACACGACACTTAACCACCCAGTGATGTAGACTATACATTGTATGCAGACAAGCCTTGATACTGAGACACGACACTTAACCACCCAGTGATGTAGATCGTAGTTGGTATACAGACAAGTCCTTATTGTAAGAAACGACACTAAACTATCATGTAATGTAGACCGTAGTTGGTACACTATCCATCGCTTGTGTTAGGAACATATTGTCCTTTTACTCTAAAATCTGTTCCAGCAATCGCGACGTCTAAAAGTCCATCCATTATGTTAGGTTGATTGTTTGGTTTTCAAGCAAAGCATTGAAAGGACAGAACAAAAATGGATCATCACCTAAATTGAGGGCATGCTCCAAACAAAACTCAACCTTTCGGGTTAAACAATCCCGAAGATCGGCCCCTGGATTAAGTTATTTCTGTCCTACCCTCAAAGTAGAGGGGAGCCCATCAATCTACATGGAGAGGTTCTAAGATCGTCCTCAAACTCATATTTGCCTTGCTCATAGTGTATCATAATGTCTTACTGTTGTTTTTGTTTCTGACCGGTTACTGCTGTTCTTTTGTAGAGTAACCGACTTAACGTGCACGTTCCGATTTCCCCTTAAGTATAATTGTTGTGGCAAAGTATTGTTTTCTAGTCTACGTACAATTTCTTCTTATTTTCTATATTTGTCACCTATTGTAAAAGTAATTTTAATTTCAGTACGACTCATACCGCCGGCAACTTCGTCATGTAGAGAGGTACACGTGTATGACTTAAACAAGCTGGAACACGTGAACAGTGTTCTGTTGATCTGGCGATTGGTTGGTGATCACTACCCTGTCACCACATACAGAAATCGCCCTCGGCTTTTGTATTCCATCTGATGACGACAGTAGTTCTCTGACATGTGTCCCGTCCCCAGACATCTGTATGACGTTGTGAGAATTATAGCCACACACGTACACGTTGTGTTCCATGTCTACGTCTATTCCTGTAGTAAGTTTCAAAACCCCTGATTTCAATACGTCCGTGCTCGAGCCGGCTGAAAGTCTAGTCACGGCAGATTCGTTAGGATTATTGGTATGGAGACTGGCAAAGACGTGTCCACTTTGATGATCGCTAGCGAGATGCAAACACCTTGATTTTAGTGTGTGAATTTTTGATGTTATCCCAAATTTTCTTGATACGCTATGAAGTGATGTATCTTTGCCGACGACAAACCTGTTATTCCGGTATGTTATACCATAGCATCCTTTAGTCGTCATTGACAACTTAATTGTTGATGTAAGGGTCAACTTTAAATCCTCCACACTGACCATACATATGGTGTCCTCCCGCAGCATCACTGCTACTGTGTTGTCGTCAACTTGACATAGATCTACAGGCGTCCCATCCATACTGATGTTACATAGGAAGTCTCCGTTTTCTGTAAATAGCTTGATATTTTTGTTCGCCCAGTCCCCTAAGACAATGAAACCACCATGTAGGTATATAATCCCACAGGAAGTACAGTTAGATTTATCAGAAGGAAGTTTGATATTGAACTTTCCCATTATCCTCAGTTGTCTTTCAGACAATGGCACACTCAAGGTAGTTGTCGGCAGATTTCTCTGTTGTTTATCAACAACTATTTTCCCCATGGTCAGATCGGTGTTTGTGTCGAAGGTTTGCGTGTCATACTCATGTCTCAGGGTGGTGGATACTGACGATTTCTCCAGTTCCTGTATCAGTCCCTTACAGGATGCGACCTCAGCTTGCCCTCTCTGAAACAGACAAATCGTCCCTACAGTGTTGTCTGTCATTGTTGCTTCTTCGGATGACGTCAATGTGTTCTGCATAGCGAACATCAGCCGTTCACATTGCTGTCTCGATACTTCCAGATTTTCCTTTTCCTCTTTAAAGTGTGTTATTAGTTTGTCCGTCAGTTCTTTCTGTAGCGAATCGAACCTCCGATCAATGTTTTGGCGTAGATCTGTTAAACTTTTCAGTGCCGTGTCTTGATCATAGAAAATGGACTGAAGTTGTTCGCCAATATCTTTAATCAGCGTCTTCATGGCTTCTGTGCATTTATGAAGCAGGTCCATTAGATCATCGATCTTGGAGCTGTTTCTGAGTTTGTCCCGCGACTCTTCTATCGACATCACCACTTCACATTTCCTGTGATCGACGATAATGCATTTGCTGCATCCAAGGAGCTGGTGGTCCTCGCAGTAATACTCCATTTTCTCATTATGTTTTCCACAATCGTTAGGCGATACCTCTCGACGCATTATGGCTGACATGTTAACGTCCGCGATGTCCTTTGGTTCACATTCTTCATGAAACATGTCATGGTGGTCTACTTTGCAAGCTGCACAGAAGAAAGTATTGTACTGTTCGCACCAGAGTTTCACTGGTACATTCATTTTTCCTTTCTTCTCGCAAGGTCTGCATGTTGTTTTCTCACTTGTCTTCTGCGACAGTTTGATCATTTCTACAGCCAAATTATTGGTTGGGAACTGTTCAGCCCAGGTTTCCTTAGCTTCTGATTGGCTCACAGGCTCAGTGACCTTCCGGCAAACAGGACAGGAGAAAGAAGACGCTGACGCCGTCTTACCTGACAATTCCTTTGTGATGTAACTTCCCAGGCATTCCTGGCAGAACGAATGCAGACAGGGCAGGGACTTGGGATGTCTCAGCTGCTCCAGACAGATGGGACATTCCAGTAGCTGGGAGTCTAGTGACTGGCGTCTTTCTCCTTCTATCGACGACGGTTGATGACGTGGTCCACCTTCCGCCATATTGACTGGGGCGTCACTGCTACGATATTACCTTGAACAGAAAGGAAATATATTAAAATATAAGCTACATCATTAACAACAAAAATGTACTGTTTCTGTGAATGAAATGAGTATCAGCAAATCAGTTTGACCGGGGCGAAGACAATTGTCAGAGCCTGAACCATGTGTCATCGATTCTTAATAACCTTGATTTCATCTTACATGTAACCACCAGTGGAGGCGGTGTTACAGTGTTTCAGTGGTACACGGCTCTTAACTTTATACCAGTCTTTTTTTGATGATTATTTTTTTATTCAGATTTATCATCAATGCAATGCACATGTACTATAAATAGCAAAACATTCACTCATTTGTATACTCGCACATACATACATAAACCTATATACGTTATGTCCACATTTGTCAAAGAGTACATCCATTCTCAGGATTCTCATATTTATCACACTAGCACAAACTTATATACTCATTTCCGTCTATTTTTACATTTCAACATTTTATTACCCAGATATACGCATCCATCCATGTGTCTGACATATGTATGTCCCAATCATTCAATGCTATGTCTCGTGTACAAATAGAACACCTATCCACCTTCATCACATGTGGTATATATCTTCGTGCTGGAAAAAATATCTGCACTAAATTATATATAACCGCACATACTGTATAACTCTTGTCCATGTCAAAAACACCCATGTCCATTGATAAACATAATTAATATCAGTTCACCATACTCACATACGTTGTACGCAAACATACCCATATGCATGATATTAGACATTTTCAGACATTCGTGTATCTACTGCAAGGAGAAGAAATATCAGTCTCACACACAAAAAACGGAAGAAAAAAAAGAAACTTTTAAGGTAAATGAGAAATTTGCACAGACCGTCTACTGAGTACATTGCATTGTCTTTATAAGAAAGAGGAATTGAGATAGAGATTGAAAAAATAAAAAGAAAGGGAGAACAGAGAACACAAAGAGAAGGGAGAAGAAAGGTAGGATAAATTGGGGGCAGATGGTGGAATAATAGAATCATTCAGCCCCTTTGGGGCGAGATAGGGGAATATCAACCCGAGGGGGAAGATTCTTATGTTACCAAACACGAGGCTTTGCCGAGTGTTTGGCAACTTAAGAATCTTTCCCCGAGGGTTGAGATTCCCCTATCTTACCCACAAGGGGGTGAATGATTCTTTTTCTCTTACATGTACCATGTTTTCCCCAATGTGTATCATATACACAATGTAATGATAACGTTACATGCTAAATTCAGGGTTGACGTGACGTTGATGGATTGTTGACGTGACGTCATTGTATTGTTGCAGTGACGTCATACCATTGTTATAAATAGGGGAATCCCCCCGTCTCAACCCTAGGGCGGAGACAGATAAATCTAGCACCGGCAAAACGGGAGATAAATCTGTCAGGTGTGGGAGAACAAGATATAAACTCCTGTATGTTATATTATAAATAGTTAATATATCGGCTTTGTGAAGGGCTATCCCAGATTCCATAACCACGAAAAGAAGCAGAAATTAAAATATGTATGATAGAGTACGTCTTCAAAATGATAATGATAATAATAATAAACAAGAGACCCAAGGGCCTAAGCGGTCACCTGAGTTATATCATAGGTACTGGTAGCTATATTTTATTGTTTAGATGTGATGTGGAAATCAGCATATAAACTAAGTGAAATACAATACTTGTCATGTCATGAAAGGATAAGAATTTGAAAATATTGGTAAAAGTTCCCTTTGGGGCCCCGCCCTAGCCCCTGGGGATGGAGATGGGGCAGGAATCCCAATTTTAAAATGTAATACCCTCATTCACAAAAGATGATTCTGACTAAGTTTGAGTAATTTTCTGCAGAAAATGGATAAAATATACCCAAAAGTGTTGTTTCCATATATAAACTATAGTAAACTTTTCCCCCTCTCCAAGGGAGAACGGATAGCTCGGGGGTCCTGAAATTTACAATTTAAGTAAAGCCCCTGATGATCTTTCTTTCCATGCAGAGGAAATGACTGTAGTACCTCTGAGTCTGGAGAAGAAGATTTTTGAAAAAATTGGTTAATTTTCCCTTTGGGGCCCCGCCCTTGCCCCAGGGGTTGGGGTAGGAATTTCAATTTTACAATTTGAAACCATCTTCCTCCAAGGATAATTCTCACCAAATAAAATAAAAATGATTTCCTACAAAAAGTTGTCAAAATATACTCAAAAGTGTTATTTCCCTATATAAACTATAGTAAACTTTACCCCCTCCCCAAGGGAGAACGGATAGCTCGGGGGTCCTGAAATTTACTATTTAAATAAAGCCCCTAATGATCTTTCTTTCCATGCAGAGAAAATGAGAAGATTTTTGAAATATTGGTTAATTTTCCCTTTGGGGCAACGCCTTGGCCCCAGGGGTCGGGGTAGGAATCCCAATTTTACAATTTTGTAGCCTCATCTACCAAGGATGATTCTGACCAAGTTTGAAAAAAAAATCCATCCACTGGTTCTTGAGAAGAAGTCGAAAAAGTAAAAAGTTTACGCACGACGGACGACGGAAAGCGATTAGAATAGGTCACTTGAGCAAAGCTCAGGTGACCTAAAAATAAAAATATTTAAGGCCAAAAAGAAAAGATTTCTTGTTTACTGAAAATGGGATTGAAAGAGCTTCCAGTAATGTATCACGACTTTCTAGTAATCTTTGTACTTCTTCACATTCCCATCATATATGAGTAATTGTTTCTGGTTCAGAGTTGCATAGTACACAAAGAAGGGAGACAACTACTCCAATTTTACTTGAAACAAATTCAATATAAACTATTAAATTTAAGACCAACTCAATTCATCAACCCATGAAATCCACCAAAGCAAGATTCAATCCTTATATTTCAATCAACTTGTGTATTTTTAAATAATTGGAACTTGTGAAGTCAATTCTGATAGTTTTTCCCAGGTTCTAGAGCTTGTGCAAGTCTACGTATTGACGTAATGTAAAAAAATATAGCTGGTCATTGAAAGACCATCATACAAAATGATGGTGTACGTTGATAGTTTAATACCGCCAATTATGTAGAAACAAATCACAAAACCATATTTTAAATGTCATATTTGATTTTTGTTGATGAATTCATAAGATATCACATTTTCTGACGAGTCATCGTGGCCATCTTTTTACTAGCTCGAAGTGGAGAGCCGCTTAATTTCAAGGTTCTACATCTTCTGGAATGTGAAGCTGCAGTAATTGAATTTCGAATTAGACAGGAAACCAGACGTAGCTTGAAAGGACAAAACAATTTGATATGTCAGTTGGCTGTTCGACTGTATTTCATATATAAGACAGGACCATATGGATCTACGTTGTTTTTGATTTGTACAAGGGGTTGATACTGATACATGAAGCAGAATGGGTAGCTGGAGGGAGAATTTCCAGGGCAGTACATGACTTGTCACTACCGCTAGCAACCGTGAGCTGATAATATTTTGCTGATTGATCGTTTTTGGTTGTTTGAACAATTCGTTGTGTACCTTCAATAAAAATGTAAAATCTCATAAAGTGGTAGACTATCTTCTTTGTTTAAACATGTCAGTAGTTTTCTCCCTTCGCAAAATCATACGCACAGGCAATGCTAATATGGCCAAATTCATCGGCAAATGAAACAGGTTACATTTGGTAGTTGCATTATAATAATAATAATAATTCGAGGTTCTGATATACCGCTTTATCACAACCTAGTTCGTAGGTCGTCTCAAAGCAGTTCACAAATTATTATCCGTGGTTATAGGGCATTTGCAACCAGCCAATATCTTTCTCAACTCCCTGGGGAGCATACAGCCGGAGCTGCCATTCGGCGCTAACAGCAATAATTCTAGCACTTCCCAACCACGTACTTATTTACAGCTGAGTAGACTGGAACAAGCGAGGTAAAGTATCTTGCTGAAAGATACAACACATAGTGTCGTGCCGTGACTCGAATCCGCAACCCTTCGGTCACGAGCCCGGCGTCCAACCACTAGACTACCGTGCCTGCTAATTGAGCATTGGGTCCAACTTGAATATGAATTGAAATATATAGAAATGAGATAGTTGTTAGTACGTGATGAATCACTCTATACTGGAACCACTGAAGTTTTGTATTTGTTGTTACGCAGATGGCATTTTGTAGATTTTACACCAGTTTAGTTTATCCATGTTGTCGAATACAGTATTCCACTTTCTGGTGCCGGATGGTATCTTGTCCGATTTGATTATGATGTTGTTCAACATTTTTTACCCTTTATTATCTCTAAAAATAATTCTAAATTGATAGGTATGTAGGGATAAATTATCTCATGTCTGTATGTATTATATGATGTAATAAAGTCTTTAACTGCAGAGACAAGATCCTGATATTGTAAAAAAGTTGTGTTAACTTGGTATTTTTGAATAAATTCTACAAATGTGTAAAACAAACCTGTTCTACACTCCTTTATAATATCATTCATAATAAAAGTTTTTTTTCTGATAATATTTTTCATTATAAAAAACAGCTCTTCCTCCTATCTTGATTTGTTTTCCTGAAGAATTTTATCATAATACTTTGTATTTAGTGTGTACCATGATTTGAGCACATCACTCCAGAATTTTTTTTACACTTATTTACATATGTCTGAATATATTCAGAACCACAATTTGCAAGAAGATCTATGCCAATATAAGTTTTAAGTATGGCCTGCCATTTCTCAGTACTCTGATAGTCTTCTGATCCAATTAAGTTTAAGAGAGTTTATAAATGCAACACGATTGATTATCTTCAGCATAATTTTGAATAATTATCTCTCTTCTAATTTTGTCTGGTTTTCCACTCCATAAGTAATCAAGTAATATTGAGTTGAGTTTGTTAATAAATTTATCATCTTGATTAGGTAATGATATACACAGGTGATTAAATTGAGAGATGAGCAATGATTTGATAGTGTTAATTTTTCCAATAGGTGTTAATGACCTTCTGTTCCAAATTTTTATTTTGATGAGGGTTTTTTGTCAAAGTTAAGTTTTGGTATTTCATGAAGATTCACACTAAATTCAATTCCTAACAACGTAAATTTTTCTTTTCCCCACGGCAAATTAAGTTCAGGTAAAAAACAATCTTCACTATACTTTTTGCTACCAATCCATATCACCTGAGTTATCAATGTTCATTTTTAAACCAGATTTTTTTGCAAATTCATTTAGTTCTTTTACGTCTTCCTTTAGTGATTTCTCAGAGCTATCAAGTATAAGTGAAGTGTCATTAGCATATTGTGATAATGAAATAGGGCAACTTTCAATCTCGATACATTTTATATTTCTATTATTTCTCAATTTATAGCCAAAACCTCTGCACAAAGAATACACAGATACAGTGCGATCGGATCCCCCTGTCGGCCCAAAGAGAAGTTTAACTTTTTCAATAAGTTACCAAGACTCTGAATCAAATTGCTTCTCAAAATCAATCATAAGTAGCAGGCCAGGTATATCATTCTCCTCAGTATAATGCATTATATCATATATTAATCTTGTATTTATACTATAACGACCCGAAAGAAAACAAGTTTATCATTCAGCATTCCAAAGCAAGTCCATGAAGCATATATAAATGTAGGTCAAATTCAGGGCGCGGAACATGCACTCAAGGTAGAATCACTTGCTGCATCATTGATGCAGGTATAATCTATGTAGCATAGTTACCCAGATATGACTAAATAACTATTCCTAACCAGCCTCACGGACGGTCGAAGGGACAGAACGCGGACGCCATTTTCATATCACCTAATTATATAGCGAGTTTGTTGTACAATGTAGTAGGGCATTATAACTAGTAAAATCATCATCAATATTGAGATATATGCTGTATCTCATGCTGAGGAATACCAGCTAGCATCCAAACGGATGAAATATTTGATATTTCAGCAAATTATTAATTGTGAACAAGGAGGTAAACGTTTCACCTACTTATTCATGATGTCATACAACTGTATTTATTATAATTCCTGAAATAAATAAAACATTAAATGATGTTGTTTTGTTATTCTTTTGGTCAAACGCTCAATAGCATGAGTTTTTCATTATCTGCGTACTCACGTTTTTGTCCTTGTTTAACAAGTGCAAGGTCCTTCTTCCTCGTCACGCTTGTCACCACGTGTCTAAATCATAAACCGGAATACAGGAGTCACCCGTCTGAAGTCCGGAAATACTCTTTTAGTAACAGTATACTCTGGTTCAGTTATTCGTTTCAAGGAGAACAGCATTGCATATTTTAAAATATGAATAGAATAAATTAATTGAATCAAAAACACTGCTGAAGAGTAACATATGATATGGTAACTCATATATCAGGAGTACGGTGGTTTACGCTGATAACAAGTTTCAGTGAATTGTGAATTATAATCATCTGGGATTTTATGGTACGGGAAGTGCTGACCTGTCTTAATTTCTTACGTTTTATAAAATGTTTTTCGTTTTAAGTGAATGATTTACACCTTTGCTTTAAACATATTTTATCATATTTGTGAAAAAAGTAGAGTTTCAGACCTTAATTAAAATCCCATGCGCTCTTCCATCCAGGCCAATGAATATGTTATTTATATACAGCATCGTGACTAAAGTATTCCCGATCGATTTGCCCGAATTTATTCATCTCTATTTTTTTCTCACTGAATTTTCCTGGAGTCAATATTTGCGCCACCGAAATAAAATTGGACACCCTAAAACAGAATTAATTGATGTTTTCTCTGACGATGTTTTCTTTTTTTCAGTGGAATGATTTCCAAAACCTGATGACTTATTCTCGGAAATATAATTTCCAATTATTTGTCAGACAAAGAACTCAAAAACCAGACAACACAACTGTAGGAATAGAGTTTCAGGTTATTGAATAAAAACGTATATTTCAGTCTGTGAAGTTTCTGTTTCAATAACGCTATAATAAGCCCAAAAACATTCCAATGAAAAATTGCGAAAATGTTTGAAATATATATTAAACTTGGGGAAATCTTGGGGAAATGCTATAAGTTGAAAAAACGTGTTTCATAACTGTTGTAAAATAAATTCAGTTTTCATAAATACCGCAAATTCCTGAGGTTGGGATTAGGTCCTAAATCTGTATGATTGCCTGCGTTTCACAGCCTATTCTTTCGTGTTGATCTCACAATCCTATTCTATATTATATTTTGGATCTTAACTTGCAAATAGAGATTAGTAATTCAGATATCTGTACATGTGTGGGTGTTGTTGTATTGTTTCCATACTTTACATTATTGATGTTAATCTATCAACTGACAACAACTGCCATTAGACTATAAATTTAGAAACGTAAATATTTCCTGAAATCAGGTTCGTTGAAAATGAGTGACTTATTTGTTTGAAATATAAACTATGATTACAAAACCATTTGACTATGAATAGTTTTGTTATACAGTCTCAAGAGATATATTTTGAGTCTGTGTTCTTCAATAACCGTTGGTTGCTATTTAAATTGGTGTATGGTCCGATTTCCACGTAAATAAATCAGTAAGGAAGAACGGAATGCCTTAGTTTACTACGAAGTTTTGAGATATCAAATCACCTTGATTGTATTATCAATGAAGAGAACTTTAGTTTGTTAAAGAGATAATCCTTCCCTTCATAACGTACAACGGTTATATTGTGACCGATATATATAATGAGTAATCAGATTCAGATTATATATTCCTTTTGTTTTACAACACATCCGCGGCACATCAAAGTTACTGTGTGTATTGCTGTCGTAAATAATATTAAAAGATCAATTCTAACTCGATGAAATATGACCGGAGTTTATCACGGTAATAGGTCATTTCTTACATTTCAAGTAGACACACTTAACTAAATGGACGGATTCAAAAACTTCAAAGCAACATGGGAGCTTCACCGTTATTAAAAATATAATTGATCGATTGGTTTTATGTCCGCATCACTACCGAGTAGTTCGGTTATCCAACAGACATTAAAAGTATAATACAACCATAGCCTATATATTGTATATATATTTTCTGTGTAATTTTCAAATTCATTTTAATTTATAAAATAATTATAAAATCCACAATTGGTCCGACAAAAGGCTCGTTAAGTGATATCCATTAGAAACTGAGACTATGGCATTTAACACTCGTTTGATCATGAATGGCAATAACCTGCACTGCGGGAATTTAGAATCCATATACATTTTGGTATTTATTTCTCTGGGGATGGGAACTGCGCTGAGCAATTATGTACATATTGATTGTAAATTTAAAGTTTCAAGCAGAAAAACTTAATATACTGCGAAAATTTTAATTTCAAATTGATAAATATATCATCACTCAAGAATGTATTATTTATTCAAAAGACCACTATTAGAGTAATGGGTTTTAGTATGGGCAACATACAACATTGCTTTGTCCAAAACGTTAGAACGTCTCCAACTAGAAACCGCGTGTATATACAGTTACAGGTAATATTCAACTTTTTCTTAACTTGTTTTCTTCACATAACGACTTACCAAACTCCATTTGTTTTGTTACTTTGCATTGAATATTATAGCTTTCCTCGACTGATACATGTACATGTGGATCATGACTCGATACAAACGTTTAACAAACACCAAAACTTCATCATGATAACGCTTTATTTTTTTAACACTGTATATGAAAATCAGTTATAAAAAAAATACGAAATGTAAAATTATTGTTGTATAGCATATGACGTGTAAATATACGTAAACGTTGCAAAACTACATAACAGAGAAATATTGATATCTAACATAGAGTTTTATATGTTATGAAGCATTACGAATTTCTGTATAGTTTTTTAACTGCAAAATATAGTAGAATACATTTCTTCGAAAATATGTACATTTTATACATATTGCTATGTTTCCATTTGATTAGAGGGGATTGTTTCGGGTAACATATGTAGCTCAGACGACAACAAAGAAGTTCTAATTCAGGATTAAATAGAAAAGTTTAATTATCAGTAGGCGGCTTCGTTTCACATTCGTTTTTGAGGTACGGGGAACATAATCACACAGCTCATGTAGCGATGTGCGGAACCGTCACAGTCAGAGATGATCGGCTGTTAAAACCACGGCTGTGATATATATCGGCACACCATTCGCTGACAGGGACGTTCCGTACATTACCACAGGAGCCAGGAGATTATCAGGCTGATGTTGACAGGGTTTCTACTACTTTTCAGTAAAACCTGATACACCAACACCAAGGTCCCAGTCAGAAACCAACCAAGCCTACAACTTCATAAAAAACGGTATTTTAGAAAATAAAAATACTTTCAAATTCTTAAGACGTGTGATCAGTTCTATTCAAGTCTCTATCTCAATTCACCATTATTTTGACATTATCTCTGGTACGACAAAAGTACTTATAATATGCATGACTCTTTCTATCCATAAGGTAACTAAAATTATATAGCGGTGTTGTTTCAAGTCGTCGTGTGTTTCAATGCGGACTAGGATCCCGGACCTTACACCAACTTTTCGTAGATCACATGAGGGACAGTCGTCTGCGACCTGACTCCCAGTGACATTTCCTGTATGGTATTCTTCTTTTTGGACACCGAAAACATGGGGAGGCAGGATTTTGCGACTTTGATGTCATTGAATGTGTATAGAATGCAGTTGTTTGCGCTGTCCAACACTGAAAATGTCCTTGTTTTCAGATTCAGGAAAAACCCGAAATGTAAATAGAAGTCATCATTAGACCATTCCAAGTCCTTTGCTGGCATTAGGTTCATCCTGCCGTTAACCCCGAATTCTAACCTCACAAACTTCTTGCCGTATTTTACCGCTCTACACGTGTATGACGTGTGTGTGGTGTACGTGCGCCCGGTGCCATCACCATAGCCAACTTTGTGTGCACAACAAATACCAAGATCGAAAGCCCATTCATGGGCAGTTTTTAAGAGATGGCCCATCCGATACTTGACCTTCAGTTCCCAGTAGTTGTATGCCCCCGTCAGCTCGCGGAGTCCGAACGTCCCGGCGATAGTCGGACAGTTTAATTCCTGGAACTTGACGTCATTTCCGGCTCCCTTCCCAAGCAACCGCATTCCGTCGCTGTCTACCACAATTTCTTTTGAGGCTTTCTTCGCATCAAATACGACGTCACCTAAAACACCACAAAAGGATTGCAAAACAAAAACTTTCAAAAATATAACAGCACTACTATTTCATATTACATCGTTAGGACGTCATTAGTGCACGTCATATACAGCCTGTATGATTGTAATGTCACAAGCAATGGATGGTTCTGAGAAATCTAAAGCACCAGGTGAAAGCGTCCAATGTACGTTGCTTAGCTGAATTGGTTAAAACGATGAAATGAATTGGCACCATCATATTATTTGTTGTACGTACTTAACATATTTCTTTAAAATTGTTCGCGTCTAGGCTGCAACGATGTACAATTTGATTTGAATAGCATCCGAAACGCTACCATTTATCTAGAAATAAGCTCAAATGTAGAGTAATCAAGAAACGGCACTGGAAGTTCGTTAGGTCGTGTCACTTGTTTTTTTTAAATCTTTCTATTTCATCACTTCAATAATTCTCATTCGGTGATCCGCTGTCACAGACAAATACATTTATATGTGGCGCTGTTATTGACGAGTTATTTACCAGCATGGATAGATTATAACACATGAACATCAACTCCAACATGGTTATCGAACTGACAATGTTAACATAGTCATACCGTGATGAACTGTTATTTGCTTCGAGCATGACAGACAGGAATTGATGGGTTGAATTGATAAACCCCTGGAACGACGCCATGAATAAGTTTTTTTTCAAAACATTTTCGGGAAAAAATAATTCTTTGAACTTGAATAATGATGGTGGTCTTCTGCTGATACAGAGAACTAGGTATCCTAGACTTTGCAATGGATATATATATATATATATATATATATATGCAACTACAATCACTGCATGGTTGCCAGAAAGTTATCAATTTAGCAACGTCCAGCTGAGAGAAACAGTACTAAGGCAAGGCAATCCAGTCAAACACAGGGTCACGTTACAAATGTCTGAGATACGGGTCACAACACACATAAACATACACGTATGTGTGTTGTGACCCGTATCAGGATAGCGTATGTGTATTTCAGACATTTGTCGTGACCCTGTGAGTCAAATAAAAGCCAGTGGCCATTTACCGTTAACCTTGCCTTTTCATTTTCTGACGACGAGTAGTCCGACCAAGCTCTTTGTTCGGCGTACCGTCACGAGACAATCACTTTGGAAGACGGCTTCCCATGATGAATAAGACTTTTCGAGGTAGTATATTGAGGTAAGTTGACATGTTTTTTTACAAGATGACAAACATAAATACTGTGTTATGATACATCGAATGACCTTTATGTACTTACTTGTGATGGCGGGGAGAGTGGTCACGTCGACGAAGCCCTTTGTCCCGGGCCTGCCTTGCACCCAGACGGACACGCGGTACGTGGTATCATGCCACAGACGAGTCACCACCACACCCGTGTCGCACACACCGTAGATTTCGCGTGTGCTTCGCTCCGTGCCTACGTCACACTGAAGCTGGATGTCGAACACTCGGCCGTCGCCGTGTGACCATTCCAGGACGACACTGGCCCCGTTCTCACCCCATCTCCGACCCACTACCGGAATCTGTACTTTCTCCTCCACTGGTCGGAAGCAAAAACAGGTGTAAACTAGATTAAAATTTAGTGCTAATGAAACCCGTGTTTCTGTTTTTTATAAAATATACATTACACTGTATTTATGCAGCACAGTTCAGAGCCATAAGTGACTAATATTTACATCTGCTCTGCATTGCCACTATATAACACTACAATGGCGAGTTCCGTGTTATGAGACCATATAACACAGGCGTAATGATATCTACACGTACGGGTCCAACTAACTACCAGGTCGCTATTCCCCTCCACACTAGCAAGCAGATAAGCAAACAAAACCACTATGACTCAATAATATTCACCGTTTTATGTGAGACTATTATAAAATGTGAATTGAATATATTGATTGATTAAATTATGGAAATAGTATCGATATTATTGTGTTTATTTCCAAGAACTATATTTTTTACGGGAAAAGTCACGAGACAACATTCCGTGGGCAATTCCATGGGCTGTTCTATCTCTTGAACAAACACCGCTAAATTTGAATTTAAAAGTGCGTTGTGAACTTGTAAATGAAAATAAAAAAACTGGAAAATGTAAATATAACCATTAAACAGCATTCTGTTCCGTGCTAACGCGCGTTACTCATCTTGTCTGCAATGGTGTTCCGTGTCAGTTGACCATAACATGGAACATAACGTTGTTTAGTGCTTTAAAAATAAACCAGTTTTTGCTTTCGAATTATTTATTAAATACATATCTGGTAATCTTACTACAGAAATACTAGATATTGCAGTAGCCCAGAAACCGGAAACATGTTCGCTTAAACTCATTAGTTGTTATCCACTGATGAAATCGACGAATTGAAAAAAGCATCGGTTTAAGCGCCATTTTAGTTTATAGTAACGTGACGTCATCATCCGTTCTCGACGTCGTTTTGTCTGCCGTTTTTGTTTGGCGCAAATTTTTGAGAAGCAAACTGAACAAAAACGGGGTAATGATAAGCAATGCTTTGAAAATATTCATTTAAGGAGGTTCCACCCTTTCGAAATTAACCAGTAGAATTCATTGAAACTTTCATATAATGGTTATGCAACAGTGTTGAGGTGTTTTCACGAAAATCTAAGCCTTCCGATTTTTTGGGGGAAATGCCTTATATGCAAAACGGCAATGACGTCACGAAAATTCAACGGGAATAAACATGTGTATTGCGAAGGGCTGAGAGCCCTTAAACGTGAACAGATAGTAGTGCCTTCGCCTGTTTATACCATCATTATATCAATGAACCAAAATGTCCCTTCATGTTAAATTATGCAAAATCTTGTTGAATTTCATCTGAACGACCGTGTGAATAGCTGAGGATGCGTCATACTTACACATATCCCCTCCGCCCATACTATCTCGAATTATACCATCTGAAATAGTAAAAAAAGCATTAGTTGTCCATTTGTTTATATTTTCTTTAGCCAAACCTTACTAAATATATTGATAAATAGATGTTCCAGTAGTCCATGTATCAAATATGTAATAAAATAACAATCTCATACCTCTTATTTTATTTACCACTTCTTTTACCTCCAAAGTGTATAACGGTTTCCCCTTTTCCTTGTTTTATTTTCCAATGTCTCCTACGATTAGTCGACTAATTATTTTGTAACTTCAACATTGGCAAACCAAATGCTGACAGTATAACTATGTGTCATTGCTCCTTACCAATCAAACACTAGTCTGACCCTTCCATCAGACACCAACTTAATTAACAAGCACTTCCAAAACTTTAAGGTCCTTTACTTAAAAAATAAAAAGTTTAATGAACATCATAAAGAACACATGGCGGCTCCACACACATTTAACGAAATCGTCGTCATTGTCCTAAATTCGACTGTGTTAGTTCAACATTATAGACCTGTAAGCTGTTATTTAACGCGTTATGACTACTGAATGGCAATACAAAACATAAATGAACCAAGAACAAACACAATCTGTTCCGCGAAACATATACGTACTTTCCTGTTCCGCCAAACATACATTTATAATGTACCAGTCCGTCAGCTCTCCCACAAGAGGACTGACCCAATACGTACCTATCTGTCCCGCTGTTGTATCTGTCAGAGCATTTTGGATTCGGCGGATGGCGGCGTCCGCTGTGGCCGGAAGTTGGCTGACTTTCTGGTCTTCTGAGAATGTAAATTCCAGCTTATCTTTTGTCTGTTCCATCCTGGACAAAGAAAAGACGAAGAAAAAACGAGACAATAAAAAAGGTAAATGTGCGGAATCAGCTATGATTAGACCACATTTAAGATTGTTCGTTCGTTGATATCATAAAATAGAAATAAAACGTCACGTACGTTTTCTGGTGTCAACGTTAGAATTAGTAAAATTTCATCACCGTCAGGTCAGGATGGGTAAACATTTCATCACCGTTAGGATGGGTAACATTTCATCACCGTTAGGATGGGTAAACATTTCATCACCGTCAGGATGGGTAAACATTTCATCACCGTTAGGATGGGTAAACATTTCATCGTCATTATAAGACTAGAAAGATGTTATAGCCATTTAAAAGGATAACATTTCTTCTCCATAAGAATCGGTATCATTTCATCTCCATGATAATCGGTAGCATTTCATCTCTATGAGAATCGGTAGCATTTCATCTCTATGAGAATCGGTAGCATTTCATCTCAATGAGAATCGGTAGCATTTCATCTCTATGAGAATCGGTAGCATTTCATCTCTATGAGAATCGGTAGCATTTCATCTCTATGAGAATCGGTATCATTTCATCTCCATGGCAATCGGTAGCATTTCATCTTGATGAGAATCGGTAAGATTTCATCTCCATGACAATCGGTAATATTTCATCTCTAATAAAACCAGTATATTTTCTAAACTATTCTGATAATTTATTCTCAGAACATTACTTTGCCATTACCTTCTTTGCAGTGCAATCATGTTCTGAAATAAAAGAAAAAAACATGTTAAAGTTAATACACGATAGAAAACATCGTAATAAGGTATAGATCAATGTTTGGTAACGACATAATGTTGCAATAGATCCATGGTAATATATTGAAAAATATTATCCTCAAACATTAAATGTTGTCATGGATACAGGTTAACGAATCTATAAACTGTACATATTGTCATAGATACATGATTACGTATCATCAAATTGTTTATGTTGTCATAGAAACAAGGTGAAGCATCCTCCAAAAGTGTATGTTGTCTTGGATAAAAAAATACTTGTTGTCATATATTTACTGGATAACGTACAAATGTAAATAGTTACTGGATAATGTATACCGAAAACCATATGTTGTCATAGTTACTGGATAACGTATACCGAAAACCATATGTTGTCATAGTTATATAATAACGTATACCGAAAACCATATGTTGTCATTGTTATATAATAACGTATAAAGAAAACTATATGTTGTCATAGCTATATAATAACGTATAACGAAAACCATATGGTTTAATAGTTACTGGATAACGTATACCGAAAACCATATGTTGTCATAGTTATATAATAACGTATACCGAAAACTATATGTTGTCATTGTTACTGTAAAACGTATACCGAAAACCATATGTGGTCATAGTTACTGGATAACGTATACCGAAAACCATATGTTGTCATAGTTATATAATAACGTATACCGAAAATCATATGATGTAATAGTTACTGGATAACGTAAACTGAAAAACAATATGTTGTCATAGTTACAGGATTTCATTTTCTCAAAAAGTTGTTAATAACTTACATAATGCCTTACACACAAACAGCCGAAATTGGACACTAGCCAGAAACAGTCAAAAATGACTAATAATAATTTATATAGACTATTGGGTAATAAAATTTGTTATTACCCAATAGTCTATATAAATTATAATTAGTCATTTTTGACTGTTTCTGGCCTTTTGTCCAATTTCGCCTGTAGGGGTGAAACAGTCAAAGCGAACTGTTACCCGGCGCGAATTCGATGCGCAGAAATCCCCCCTCGAGAGCCCCGTTCAAGCGTTGTGGTGACCTCATCATTACATGCAGCGTTGATACTGATATGTATTTGGTAATAAAACAATTGTTTCATGGCTATTTGGGGAACAGTCAAAACTATCATCCCGAGGTAGGGGGAAGCCCGGTGGAACTGTTTGTTTGAGGCCGCTAGGTTTTAATATAAAATATATTATTTTATATTTATATAAATAAAAATATCGAAAACAAGGAACAATGTGTATTGTATATTGTATATTGTTTAAGAGTCATTTTTACATAACAACTTACACCAATTGTTTATAGTGTCAGTTACAGGACGTCGTCTATAGATATGATGTCATAGATACAGGGTTACGTATTCCGCGGCTTAGATAAAGCCAAAGGTAGTTTGTTTTACTTTTTAGCGACAGCAACATTATGCTATCACAATAATTGAAGTTATCATAAACGATGCCTCACGTGACTACCCAATGACGTATAAGAAAACGTGTTACCGTAACAAGTTCGGACTGAGTCCCATGACCATTGACCTCCAGCAGGGCCTGGCCCTCCCCTATCAGCCCTGTTGCCTGTACGAGTTTCTGTCTAGCTCTATCCAGCTCTGTCTCTGTTTTTATGAAGTATCCGGTAAAACCTAGCTTGGTCTCCGCCCGAAGTTTGGTCTGTCTGTCTTGTATAACTTTGCCGATTCTCTCTATTTCCCGGTTTATTTCCCGCAGCTTGCTGACTTCAGCCTCCTAAATAAAAATATCGAAAACAAGGAACAATGTGTAACTTTCTAAAACGGGAAGGAATACGCGTTTTGGCTTTGGCGGAAATGTATTAGGTATCGATAGTCTGAATTATTGTGAAAAAGATACTATGTTATAATTCTAATTGTCGTTAACTTCGCTCGTTATTGTAAAAGAGAGAAAAATAGACGGCAAAATAAAAGCATTTTGACGTATAAACAAATATATGAAAATATAACATTGATTTCTTTCTCAAAAGATTTTTTTTTTCGTGTTTCATAACGTCCCTTTTTTAAACTGAAAAGGCTACTCGAAATGTTTTTGATGTATTAAAGAAACAAAAACAGGGGCCGTATTCATGAAACCGTTCTCATGCTCAAACTTATATCCTGGACTGAAACACAATTTCTTGTTTGAGTAATTAATTAAAAAAAAAGCGTTTCGTCAATGAAGCCAAATACCATTTTCATATTATTATTCCCGCAGTGAATCGAACCGCGATCCTCAGCGTACTGTTTACTCATACAGACTGACTTGTGTTACCTTGGTGATTTGAAACTCGCTCTCTTTATCACCGACCTGCTTCGCCAACTCCCGTTTCACCACCTCCATATCCAAGATACTGGCTTTTAAACTCGTCTGTGGGGTGAAAATCAGCAATAAAAAGTACAATTATCGAGAAATAATAGATTTGTTTTGTGACATTGACCTTTATCAATTACTTGCAAAATCGATAGCTTAGCCCATTATAGTCTTTAGTCATGATTCTTGTTTTCAAATCAACACAAGACCAATATATATTTATATAGTAGTCTCAATACATATACCTCGTACACCTAACATTTTTTGAAGTGTACGATCTACACAAATCATGTATCGTGACGTACAATAAGTGTTTCACGTAACGTCATTTTAGTTGGATTCTATGTCCATTTACTTCTTTTCAATTAATTTTCGTGATTTCTATTTTCGTTCCAGTTTTGATGAATTTTAAACATAGCAAGAAAAACAGTCAATTCTTCTAAATTTATTTTTGATATTAATTTTAGAATATGATTATCCTTGACAAAGTTATTCTAATATAACCTTTCCTTTCCAATGAAAAGTCATGGGAAGATGAAAGGCTTTTACAGAAAGAATTTAGTTTGTTTCTACAAAGTGACGGTAAAGGCTTGATTTGAAAGAGTTTGCTGTCAGGCATTGGCTAATTACCTAATCGTTAAAATTCAATACTTTTCAGAAAAGATCACCTCAGTGAGGGTACCCAAAATGGAACACTTTTCAAACAAACAAAAATCCTTAAAAAATCCTGAAAGACCAAATTTGTTACTGTAATAAAACAATACATGCCTGTAGCCTTCATTTTATGTATTTCTTGGTTATCAAAAACACATGTGTTTATTTATAGAGTTCATTAAAGCGAGTCAGATTCACTTGGAAATTAAAGCTGGTCGAGTACCCAAAATGGAACAGTTGTCATATAAGACAGTTTATGAAAAGAACTGACAGTTTCTAAAACAATTTTCTTCATTTCAAAAAAGTTCTGACAATTTCTGACAAATTTCAGTAATTTATTCCCTAAAATATTTGATTAAACTTATATGTTTCCATAATAAGAATTATGATAGGATATTGATGTTGTCGCATCGTATCGTTTCCCGGAATATTTTTTGTTGATTTCATTTTCTCAATATTTCAATTGAGTTTATGGGCATTGTTTAACAGGTATGCATATAGAATGTTCTCAAAATGCATAAAACTATATAAATCTTGACGGACATACCATTCATTTTCATTGCAAAGTAAAAACTGCTGCATCATATATATATTAAGAGTACCCTATTTCGGGTACCCTCGTCCTAGACTTGCTGACAGTTTTAATGTTGTACTAAACTATTTACAGTGTGTACATCTAGTTTATTACAAAGAAATGTTATGGTTTGAACATTTCCATATCGTACCCCGTATCAGCCCGAGGGTTGATAGGAACCCTCGACCCATATCAGCTTTCGGGCTAATACAGAGGTTTCGGGTTGATACGAGGTATGAAATGGAAATGGTAACATCGTAATCTCTGAACATCCTTATAATTAGGCTATTCGTATATGTATGCATTTTCAAACCATATTCCAAATGATAAAGTGTTAATCTCAATAAAGTAGCTCTCAAAACTTGTTGTGATCCCGATACGACCATACTTTATAATTTGAATCACAGACCCTACCAACTTACGTGACCTTCAGAACCAACCATCTTACGTGACCTTTAGAACCTACCATCTGACATGACCTTCAGTACCCACCATCTGACATGACCTTCAGTATCTACCAGTTGCAGACATGACCTTCAGTAGGTACCATCTGACATGACCCTCAGAACCCACAATCTTACGTGACATTTAGTACCTACCATATGACATGACCTTCAGTACCTACCATATGCAGACATGACCTTCAGAACCCACCATCTTACGTGACATTCGAACTCAGTACCTACCATCTGACGTGGCATTCAGTACCACCCTTGTAGCTACAGCCTAAATACTTATATATCTTATGTGACCTTAAGTACATGCCATCTGATGTGGCTTTAGTACTTCTACCTACCATCTGATGTGGCTTTAGTTGATTACCTACCATCTGCTGTGAAACAGCTTGTCTAATGCCGACCAGGGTGTGACCCATGCCCTTGTGACTGGCCACAGCTAACTCAGCCTCCCTTCGGAGAACGACCTGACACTTTTCACAGAATAGGTCATTTAATACTTTGGTAGGGAATAAATGCTCATCTATGTCCCTCTCCCTAGGGTCGAACAGCTCGTGCTTTGCTAACGCCCCTCGCCTGGGATGAAGTTCTTCGCAACAAAACTTGCAATATGATGTCTGACATTGTGTGCACGATCTGACGGCGTTCCTTGGCGGGACCGACTCACAGGCGTCACACGGCACCAACGGTTCCGGATACTTCTGGTCAGGCGCAAACTTCTGTACGATAGTAGCAATCAGATAGTTCTTCGGTAAGCCTGCAACGCCCTTCTCGTCCAAGACCCCAACCTGTCTACATTCGGGACACTCCAATACGCGTCGCTTCTGTTGCTGGTAGCGTTCCTGGTCTGTGAGGTTACTTTGCCACGGGGACCTTTGAGGGTCGGGACATTTTCTGCTGGCGAGGTCGTTTAGACAGGGGCGGCAGTACGTGTGGGCACACGGCAAGTTGACGGGGTCCCGGAAAATGTCCAGGCAAATCGGACAACTCAGTAACGACTCATCCATCCTATCGGGTCCTATAAAGGATCGGTTCTATAAATACAATGAAAACAGACCGCTTAATGCTGTTGACAAAAATCCGTACAAGGTTTCCAGTCGGAAAAACTGGACGAGTTTCTTTTACGACCAACACAGGAACCGTCGTCAGATACCAATAAACATGATATCTCTAAGGAGACGACAATGGTGTTGTGACGTCATAATCAATATGATGTAATAACGTCATGTGGTCAAAGACTTCATGGCATGTCGCAGAGTTTCAGTGGCCAGCGGAAAACTACCCAATTATCGGCATCGGCGCCAACTATTTTAAATATTTGAATATGTCTAAAACAGTCCAGTAGAAAGTGTCCGATGTACAATTGTTTATGAAATGTTGCGTACATTATTAAATGGTTCATGTTTTGTCGTTGTCTTCATACTATTTGATAAACCAAATTGTAGGGTGAGGTTAACAAGAACCACCACCGAAAGTTTGAATTGCAGTACAAGATAGCAGATTTCATCTGTTTGCTATTGTATATGTTTGTCGCTACCCTGGAGAGCACGGCGACTAGTGTGTTAGTCACGCCCTCGACGGACAATTGATATGATAATAAGCGGAGTGTATCCGAAGTTGCTACAGGTGGTGGCAAAACTTGTTCCGTATCCGGAGTAAATTGAACTACATTACCGCACGCATTAGAATGTGTGTCAACAGCTTATGGGAACAATAGAAAAACACTGAAGATACTAAGTAAGAGATACATACATATGTACCTTAGCTTGATGTTAAAAGAGGTATTGTACCGTTTCTTTTTTATGACCATTATTTTTTTGAAATGGAAATGGTGGTTGTGGGTGGTTTATGGGTTGTGAGTGGGTGGGGGTTGTGTGTGGTTTGGGGGTTGTGGGTGGTTGTGTGTGGTTTGGGGGTTGTGGGTGGTTTGGGGGTGGTTTGGGGGTTGTGAATGGGTGGGGGTTGTGGGTGGTTGTGGGTGGTTTGGGTTGTTGGGGGTTGTGGGTTAGGGTTGTAGGTAGTGTTGTGGGTGGTTTGGAGGTTGTGAGTGGTGTTGTGGGTGGTTTTGGGGTTATGGGTGGGTGGGGGTTGGATCCACCAAAGACATGAATCAAACCTAAACGATGGACCGGAACCTTTTTGTATTTTATTTATTTATTCTTCTTATCATTTATAACTTCTATATGTGGTATCCAAATATAACGTATACCCACCGACTGAAAGTCTAACAAGATCAATAGTGATAGTAGCTGCGTGCCTCCGTGTATTGATGCTGTTCTTACCAGCTCTGTTTAAAGATCCTTAATGCACTCCAGCAAAACAAAAAAGAATTGTGCCCTTTCTTTTCACGCCTCATTCCCTAAACAAGCAGGCTTCCCGATATAGAGTCGTTTCGACAGGTACAATACTGCTTCACTGACCTCTAGTGTTACTGCCGCGCAGACAGACTCTACTCTTACTTTGTTTAGGGGGTTGGGTTGGTCGAGATGGCGGCCGAGTGCCGCTTTTATAACTTTCTATGAAGGGTTAATTCGAGTAAACCTGTTGTGACTAAACGTCTGTTTGGTTTCAGTTCGAACTTCCTTGGCCTCATCCTTATCCCAGCTGACTGTTCAGTCTGATAATTAACATGGATGCGGCAGCGCCCATGGGTTGTGAGGGATCGGGTTTGGAAGGGTCATTATAACCTCTTATCCAGACGTTCTGAGGTTGGTGACAACCCTCTGGTAACCACATATTGGGACCATAAATAAATATTCTGATGTTTTATAGACGAACGTGTTTGGCGTGCTTTGTTAAATCGTTCGAAAAGTCGTGAAATTTTAATCAATACTGCTTTTCACTTTTTAGTTAAGTAGTTTTTATATATAGCATAATGCGCACGTAGAATTTGGAAAAAAATATAATGTGTGTGTGTGGTTTTTTGGTTTTTTTTGTATGGATATCAGGTAGCAGTGTACAGTAGCGTGGTTATGGTGGTATTTTTGTACAATGAATAACCCGTGTAATATTACATGTATCAAAATAAAATAAAATAAATCAGCACTAAAATTGGCATATACATGATGAAGTGGACTATTTGGCCTTCATAACTTAAAAATAAATTAATAAATCGAATTTGGTTTGAGACTACAGTTTTGGCCATTTACAAATCTGTGTCTACACAACAATAGCTAGCTTTGCATGTAGTCTATTTTTGTACTATATTGAACAATGAATGATATGTTGAACGGTGGATGAAACATTGAGCAGTGGATTATACCTTGAAGAGTGAATAATACATTGAACAGAGAATGATGTATCAAACAGTGGATGATTGATTGAACTGTGGATGATATATATGTACTAAAAGTGAATGGTATATTGAACAGTGAATTGTATAATGAACAGTGAATGATATCATGAACAGAGGACGTTACACTGACCAATAATCTGGTATTCAAAACTATAATGAGCAGTGAATGATGATTGGATGAAACAGTTTCTTTTGAATTTGTAATATTTAAAGTCAATCGACAATTACGTTGTTTTGGGGGAAAAAAAATAAAATAAAATACATTGAACAACAAGATGTTTATAAAACAGTGAACGACAGATCGAAAAGTGAATGGATCCTGACTATTCAAGGAAATACTGAAGGATATACTGACCAAGAACTTGAATATTAACTCATGAAGGATTTAAATTGCTTCTTTTACACGGATGATACATGTTATATCAGCAGTTATTATACCATATAAATATACCTTACTCAGTGACGTTCTCTGCAGTTCTTGAATATCATGTCACAACAAAATCTAAGGCACACGGTAAATATATAATTGTTTTCGGGAGAAAAAAAAACCACTCGATAGGCTGATATTTTTCTGTTGATGATTAAAGAGGAGCGACATCTGACTTCATAGCCGGTCAATTTTACCGTTTTGCTGATGCACGATTTGTTTTATGTACATCAAAGTATGTCTAAGCATGTCTAAATACCCCCTTCTTTATACTTTCAACTCCAAAATGATATACACGCGCGCTAACATCTGGGCAAACAAGAGGTGATTTATATAAGTTGAACATTGTTTTAAAATAAATTAAGTTTATATTATAAATGATACACATACTTAGCGGTGTTTCGGTTAACGAAAGAACAATACTGTAATACCTCAAGGTGGTCTAAAATCACCATTATCCAGAATTAATATCCAGAATTAAATTTTAGTCTCAAAATGACACACACGAAGCGATGTAAAGGGGCATATATTCTGTATGCAACCTGATAAATAATCGCTTGTCGTTCTTATGGCGTAACTTAAATCATACAGGAGTATTATTGCTGTACTTCATACAGGTCTAAACCACTTTTATCACTTAATGATACAAACGACTTTATGCGTTGTGATGGCAACACAAGTGAAACCACTGACGATGTTAATAAGACGTGATGTGGGTATCGTAAACATGCTATAAAGAATTGTGATATTTTTCTTTTGTTTCTGCAAACAAGAACGGAAGTGTTATTGTTACTACGCAACCAGACACGTTCTTCTTTGTCCAAGAGCGCCATGGGTTCATTTACTTTGACGATAAAAGCGCCTCCCAATACGTTCTCTGTCTATCAAGTGAACCCTTTCGCTAGGCAATTCTCCGGAGAAGTAGGGGATGGTTTGATTGTCACAGGAGTTAGAGTGAGCGAAGTACATCAGATCATACCATGTGTCTCCGAAACCAAACACTGGAAGTACGGCGAAGGTGGTGGGCTCCCTATTGCTAACTTACCTTATGAACCCGGATATGCTATTTTTTGGGTTTCTAATAACAGTTTTAGCAATAGCGAACATAGTTGAAGTAGGTAGTGTACATCAGCTAACAGCACACCTGACATATAAACTTGAAGGAGTGTCCCAAAGCCAAATGTTCACTGCGTATTACCAATTCAAGGATAACGAAATCAACAAGCTAAATGGCTACAGACATGTAAAACACAGCAAAAAAACTGTATTGCTTCACATTGCAATTTTACGGATCCCTGACCTACCACACTGTGTTTTTTTTTTTATTATACAGTAAACACCCCTTAACTTCCGCTCAGACATGAGTGTAGCAGAGTTGGGCCACGAGACCTCCTTTGACGAGGTGGTCCAATCGTAAGAGCGATAGTGTAACAATATGAAGTTCAAGGTTCAAATCCAAGTCTATCCCTGCTAAATTTTAACACTCTTTCTCAATTTTTTTCGTGAAAGTTCTCGCGAGGTAGAGGTTTTCTTTTCTAAAATGAGTTATCAAAGCTTCAGTCGTACCGGAAAAATAATGTTGAAACGCTTGAAAAAATAATTCCAAAAGCATAGTTTCAGTTTATGGCAGTGGTGTGTGGAACCTTAATACGCAAATCTTCACAATCAGGGTTCAGCTCTCGTTACACGTGTCTTCCCTACATCCTTGGATTATGTTATGACAAATTGAAGGCTCTTTTTGCACCACCTTGTGAACGAGGACACTAGTTTGAGTCTTTTTATGTACACCAAAAGATTCGTGCGGTTGCGAAACGGTAAAATGATCCGTCAGTGAAGTCGAGTTTCGCTCCTCTACATGTAATCTTCAAAGACAATTTCATACACCTAAAACCAATCAAATATTGTTTGCGAGCCTTAGATTTAATCTTTACATATTCTGAAGGTGCAGGGAATATATGTGTATCGAGTTCGGAGCTGTAGAGGTTCGAGGAGGATACGTGCGATGTTATACAGGATGCTGTATGACATAGCATATCAAGAACTTCCCCTTTGCTGTTAAGTTTGTTAAGAATGAGTTCATTTAAAAAAAACAACAACATAACGTTATTGTTCGGTTAATGTTTTCGGAAAGCAATTTGGTGATTAGTCAGAAATAATCAGTAACAATGTTCCGAAGAATATATAACGTTCATAAGAAATCGAAGAGTAGTTATAAAAAGAGAAATATGCCTTTATTATGTGTCACAGACAAATGCAGCCGGATTTATCTCGGAGTGTTATTTATTATTGCCATCCTTAATGTAGTAAATTAAGGTTTTAGTACACTAAGTGTCGCCTCCCTAACCTAAGTGTTACAAAGGAAGTGTTTGTTACAATAAGGGTTATTTACAAAGTAAGTGTTTGTTACAATAAGGGTTATTTACAAAGTAAGTG